CCTTTTTAAAAAATGGGATATTTATGCATGTATATTAACTCCAGGAAAGCAGACAAGTATGCCGAGAACCAGAAGCATTGTCTAGAAAAGCTTCTATTTATCCTGCTCAAAACAGGTCTCTTTCACTTTTCAAAAAAGAGGTTGGAACTTGGGCACCAATGTCTCCTTCTGCCCCACACAGTTTTGGGATTTTCAAACTGGCAAGATTTTCCTCTCCGATAAATTTGATGGAGTTTTCTATCCAGCTTATCAGTTAGGAAGATTATCAGAAAATGAAACATCAGGCAAATGAAGCAGGTCTAACAAGAAAGGAAAAACCATAAACCATGTTTACACAGAGAGGGTTCCTGGCGGGGACTTGGGTCATTGAATGAATGAGCCGCAGGGGGCCACACAAAGATGTCAGGTTTAGGATGAGAACGAAGATGAGGAGACACAAACAGGTGGAGAGGAGATTCGGTTCTTGAAAGAGAAGAGGAGGAGGAGGAGGTATCTGACACTAAAAAAGTGAAAGAGAAAAAAAAAAGATAAAGGCAAAAAAAAAAAGCTTTAGAGACACAAAGGAAAAAATAAACTAGCTTTTAATATACTCACATAAGCTGCAAAGAAAATGAGGTCATGTAATACACAATCATTCCTCTACTGGACAATAGAATACAAGTGTTTTTCGAAGAAAACAAATTTGTTGTTTTTTTTTCCACTGGTTATTTAATTGTTCTGCAACAACACCACGGAATAAAAATAACTCAGATTTACCTGGGCACGGACTCGGCAGCATGATCCGCTGAAAATAATACATCTTTAACCTACAATATCCAGGATATTCTAGAGGAGACCACTTTTCAGTTGGAAAGGTACAGACCTCGGCTATTTCTAGATTTAATTTTTATAAGAAGCACTTATATAAAGTTTACTTGAAAGTGAAGGTTTTCCTAGGTAGAGCTACTGAGGTATAACCATAGGTCATGGTCCCAGCATCGTGACAATGGAGGGCTAAGCTTTCTAAGCTGGCCTGTGGTCGGGTGCACAGGCTGGGCACTTTGGAAAGAAGCTGTCACCACCACCTTCATGCCTTGCCACTGGAGACATATCCATTAACAGGCAGACAACCACGGCTACAATGAAAAATTGTCCCAGACACAATGGACCAAACTTTCACGGTACAAGAATAATTTTGCTTTGGAGAGGTGTCTGGTAATATCTACCAATGATTAGAGATAAACCGCCTTACTCCACATCCTGTTTTGAAGGCAAAAGGAAGAAAAAAACATTTTTTCTCATCCTCTATTTAAGGAACTACCAACTTATTCCTAAGAAAAGACAATGATTCATAGCTTCAACGCTAAGACTGTCACTCTATCTGATTCCTCTTTTTTCCAAGGCTGGGACCTATTAGAGGTGGGGGAAGGGGAGCCAGAGGTGACAACGGAAGGGAAATCATGTTGTTTTGCGGCTTTTCCAATTTGCCACATCCACTTAATGAAATCATACCTACTCCATTAGCCATGGTGGACTGGGCCAGTCCCAAGCTTCTAGTTCCCCTTATGGTATTCCATAGATGTTCAAATGGGCAATTTCAGAGGTAGAAAACCACATCCTATTTAATTAGCCACTTCCCAAATCAATAATGCTAAGCCCGCATCTTAAAATGATCCAAATGTATAATAACGGCACTGTGCTTCTAGTTTTTAAGCGTTCTTATCTCTTTGACATTTATACTGAAATTTTAGTATATGAAATATGATGTCTGGGATTTGCCTTAAAATACTCTATAAAAACTAAGTATGGGACAGGAGAGATGATGAAAAAGGAATACTAATCATTGAAAGCTGGTGGTAGGCACATGGGGATTCATTATATTGGTGCCTCTGTTGCAATATATTTGAATATTTTCCACAATAGAAAATTAAAAAACACAAAAACAAAAAGGAAATACATTTTAGTTCTGGAACACAAAAACAGGGACCCAAGAGGGCCTGTGGCTTCACAAAGGACTCTCTATCTGCACCCTGGGTGACGGAGAATGGACAGGGTCACGGTGGTGGAGGTTCACCATGGCCTTGGCCACGTCCTTGTGGATGCCAGCACTGTGTGGCTTCGCTCGTGTCAGATGCCCGGGCCCTTTAAATTAGGGAATTCAGGAAAGGAGAGAAGCACCAGGTGGGGCAGGGACCAATACTATCAGCGAGCTGTCCCCTGCTAGGGCTGGGTCCTCTCACACCACAGCAGACCTCAGTCACTTTGTTTCAATTTGGGACCATTTTTACCTTGGATAAGTTCCTTTTCTCTTTTCCTCGATAGCCCAGTTGCTTCCCTAAATGAGCAGTGCCATTCAAAACTGGCCAACCTTCTCCCTCACGTGCACTGAAGACCGTGGCAAAGAGAAGGAGGAAGATGGGATGGAGAAGCCTGGAGTGTGAAGCCCGCGTCACAGAACGCCACGTTGCCGTAGAGGACGTGGACGTTCTCTGCAGGTGGCTACGGAAGGGTCTTCGGGACGTGCGTGAACTGAAAAGTGCCAGGTGCTCGATGGCACAGCTACACAGCATTATGCTAATTTTGACGTAGGGGAACATGGGAAATCTTATCTATGATTGTTTGAGTGAAGAAAACACTGGAAGGGCAACCACAACGTTAATAAAAATGGTCACCTTCAGGGAAAAACAAGATGGAGGTGCAGGGATGGGAGCAAAACTTCTCTATGGCACCTTGTGAATCAGAACTTAGACTCTGCGGGATGTTCCCAAGTCAGGCCATCCACAGAGGTGTACAAGTGAGAATGTGCTGGCCCTCTGCTTGTCCCTCCCCCCACCCCCCCGGGCTGAACTACAGGAAACTGGGCTCTAGGAATCAAGATGGAGGCACACTTTCTGTTTTTAGATGCGTCTTCCTCATTTTTGTCTCTTTGATTTCAATCGTCATTTCAGAGTGTTCTACCCTCATTTACAACCAGTTGGCATTGATAAGCCCTCCTAATGTGGCCTTCCCCATTTCTGATTCCCTGGCCTCCTGGGTAAGTAGGTAGTGGTGTGTAAACCAATAACTGGGGGCTCTGAGGGCAGGACCGGTGAAAGACGATTCCTACAGGAATCGTCTTGCAGGGATCCTACAACAACAGTAAAATGGCCAGTGGCCAGGCCTGGAGGTGGTGCCGTGGTCCTGTTGTCCTAGGGCATCTGTGTCAGCGCCCCACTCCAACCCCCTGGGCTCCCAGCGGGAGGGACGGAGCAGAGGCCCCAACCCCACTAGGGACCAGGGTGCGGCAACGCCCTCACTGCGCCCCGCCCTGTATACACCTCACCTGGACCCTCCCGCATCTCAGAAGGTCTAACCTGCCCGGGGACACTCCTGAAGTCTCCAGGGGAAATGTCCCACGGGGCAAAGGGGAGAACAAATAACAAGGGCCTCGCTTCTGTTCTGCCACAATCTGTATTCGATGCGATGTGGCATTCAAGTCTTGGGACTGCAGGGGAAATTAAGGTCCAGGCCAGCTGGAAGGAAAGGGGCCTGAATTTAGTAGGACTGTCCTCACAGGATCCTGAGGAGGGGGCAGAAGGGGGGAGACAGCCCCGGGCAGGTGCGGCAGCTGTTCTGAATCAGCCAAAATTGCTGCTGGTGCCTTAGTGAGCTTCACCTCCTTCTCCCTCCGACTGTGTCCCAGCCTCACCCCGCAGTGGCTAAAGCCCATGGCCCTGTCCTCCCTTTCCAGCAACGAGGGGGTTCCATCGCGTCTCTAGGAGGACTGCTGTGCTATGCAAAGTCAGAGGCTCCCCCACCAGGACTGCTGGTCCATGGAGGACCGGCGGCTGGGATTGTAGGAGGCAGGTCACTGCAGGGGCTGAGTTTCTTTGTGGCTTTGTCAGTCTGCATTTTGAGCAGTGGCCTCCAGCCCTGTTCACCTGCACTGATCTGCAATTCGTGGCATCCAAGACCCAACACTCTCTTGAGCTGGGAGCCCCGGGGCCCTGGGGTCAGACTTCTCAAGCTGACCTTAACTTTGGTCAAAGGGAGCCTAGCAAAGGAATGCAGTCTGCAGGCAGCTGTGGGCATGGGCTCGGCGAGGAGCACAGCTGGCTTCTAGAGGTGGTCTCTCTCCCATCTTGCCAGGGCCAAGATTTTTCGGGAGACGGCTGTGCATACCTGTGGGCTGCTCTCTGGCTTTCTCTGGAAGGACTTGGGCAGGGGCTGGACTGTCACAAGGTCAGGAGAGGGACCTGGCAAATCCCTTCACGAAGCCAGCCAGATAAGAGGAGGCACACCCGGATGGAGAGCAAGCCTTACACAGGCCCTCTGGGCGGAGGGGGGGGCGTGGGGGGCTGAAGAAGCAACAGCACCAGCTTTCTTTCAAATCATGCTCTGGAACTACCTTTGAGGCCTGAAGCAGAGGGGAACTTCTTTCCAAATAGCCACTGAACAGTCGGTAGAACTGTTAGAATTACTTGTTTGGAGTTTTGAAAACGACAGAGGTGTATTTACTCCTCTGTACTCAGGCAAATGCGGAAACGCAAATGACAAGGTTGTACACGTTTGCTCAGGGGACAGGAGAATCAGAAGCTCAGGACCCACCTGTGTCCCTAAAGGGCCTTTTTGCTGGGGACGGGGGAGGGATGTTCCTATGTTCAACTGATTAAAAATCAAAACCTGATTTCAGCAAGATCTGAAACTTAAAGAGAGAGGGAGAAACCGAAAAGCAGAGGGGAAGCTTCATGGGGATGTGAAAAATCTAATTTTAGTCTTGAATTTGAGGCTTTGAGAGCATGGGGTAAAATAGAAAGATCTCAAAGAACTGTGCCAGCCAGGCACCAGCGTGTCCCCCACTGTGAACACACACTTGGAAAGACACGGGAGAAAACATGCCTCGACTGAGTTTAACCTCTTAGCGTGAGGAGCGTTTCCGAGCCCCAGCCCTGGCAGTCTTTGTTCCACGCCAGTTGCCACTCGGGGCCAGGCCCCACGCGCTCGCGGACACCGCTCCGTCCCCTCTGGTCTGTTATTCTCACCTGTCTCGGGATCGCTGAAGTCTGGCAAAGTAACTGTGTTAAGCTGTCGTCTGTCAGCAATGGTTCTATCTAAGAGGCTGCTCCCACGTCCAGAATCACTGCAAAACACAGCTGCAGAGGTCAGTCACGGGAAAGGGGGCAGAGGGAGAGACACAGAATCAACCATCGCCAACCCCTGATGTGCAGTAACAATTTTTGTGCGTTTGGGACGCTCCTTAGCCCCTCTCCGTTGCCTACCAGGCATCCTGTGTCCAGGCTTGGCCGGGACTGGGATCCCTCTCCATGTTCACCATCACGAACACGCTTAAACTGCACCCACAGACTCTTGCTAAGTTTAGCCTCTTTGGTGTCATTCTAAGACACAAAACTGAAAACCTGAAGCCGGGTTCTCCGTCCGCCCTCGAATGGGGAACTGACTGGCCTTCCGTGTAGGAAGTCTTGGAACGCATCAAGCCCATAAACACACCGCCCTTGAACTGTCTTACAAATCAACGGTCTACAGCTGAGCCCTCCCTGCCCAGGGAAGACACCCAGGGCATTTCTAGAAGACCCTTAGGCCAAGGCCTCTCCCCAGACCAAATGCATCGGTATTTCTGGCGAGGTCCCCGTTTTTCTGAGCTCCCCAGATGGCTCCAATGTGTAGCTAGATTTGAGAACCCATGGCTCCTACTTTTCAAAGGGCAATCACAGCCGTGGCCTATCTAATAGTCACGAGATCGCATAGGGAGCTGCTGGTCACTGGAGGAGCTGGGGATGCACCCCCCCACGCCCATATCTGACTTGTCCATTGATGGGAAGCCAGAGAATGCTGGGCCTTGCGAACACACAGCACATACAGCAGGCTTCGGGCACCAGCTCCCAGGCTGGCAGCTTCCTGCCCTGAATCCCCCCTCCCCAGCCCCACTACAGAGCAGGCTTAGCACCATTTGTTTGGGGAGTCACATGGGAGACCAGCTTGGGCCCCAGTGGAATGAAACACAGGGGACCTTCGCTCCTACAGACTCTGGTGTTGTTTTGTTCTAAGAAGCTTGCAAGCAAAAACAGTTGCATTCTTCTTTTTTCTTCTATCACGATAGTCCATCCAAGAAGCTCTGAAAAGCAGCACATCTGACTCATGAGGTTTGAGTCTATAATGCTTTTCTTTGAAGCTGTTTTGTCAGTCGGGGGGCTCTAGGCATGGTATTTTTTTGTTGTTGTTGTTAAGAAGTTCAAATTCTATAATAAAGGGACACAATTTCCTTCCTGTATGCAGCTGTTGCTAAAAGTGGTACAAACAAGATTTGGTATGAAACTTAATATGGTTCACAAGCTGTAATTTCCACGTCCAGTGATGTAGTTAGAGAAATCCACAGGAAACAGACGGAAACTTGCTTCAGTACAGACTATCTGCCAGCCTATACTTATTACATCTTTGGATACACAGTTTTTGGAAACTGTCCTATTAATTATTTCCAAAACTGCGAAACAGTAACTGTCTCTGAGCAGAAGACAACATAAAAGTAGCTGCAAATGTTCATGATTCACATTACTGACTGAATATTTCTCACACTGGTCTGTTCATGTATGTATTTTTATTATAATTATTAGAAAAATATTACCAAGAGTTATGATCTGAATACTCTAATGGCTCCCCACCTCAGAGCTTTTCAGAAGATGTCATCACAAAATATAGTGATTGTTTGCATCGCCTTGAGGATTCTAGGGCACATGGTAAGGTGCTAGGCATTGTAGAAAAAGGATTTGCCTGGGTTTTTGATGGGTTTGCTTTGGCCATAACCCTCCAGGCTGACCCATCTCACCAAGTCTCATTGCCCAGGATTAGCGGCCACGTGTTCTGCTGGGTCCTGGAAGCCAGCCAGGGCTCTGGGATCTTATCTTCTGTCTGTTCCTAACAAGTAGGTCACTCCGGTCCTAGTCTCCCTGTGCCTCAGTGTCTTCCCTGTCAGATGAAGGTAAGGATTGTTTTCCTACACACAGCGGTGTGAGGCTGAACTGAGGTCATATGGACAGAACATTCAGAAGATGTCGTTGTAAATCCATATACCTACAAACACGCACCCGAGGTGAATGTGGCTGCTGATTTCCGAAGACCACTTATTCCCAACCCTCTAGTGCAATGGTAGGTGTGGGGAAGCTGAGTTAAGGGCCTCCTGCTCTGAATGTTAGAAACCGCTGCTAAAACCCAAATCTCAACTTGTGAGCCTTCCCCACTGTTGTATTGACTACTTCCCCTCCACCAGCTGAGAAACTATCTGCAGAGTCCTTGGTTCTTCTTCAAAGTTCCTTTTGAAAACAGTACATAAGCAACAATTCACTATTCAAAATGGAGATGCTCTTGTATCCGCTCTGAATGCTGTGACTGATTGAGAATTTTGCTTTGAGCAATTTTTAGTTCAAACTTTATAGGATGTGGAGTCTTCACCAATCAAGATTTGTCTTTGTGATGACCCCTGGGATATGGAAGAGGCAAAGGGAGGCCCTGGCCACCCCTTGAGTCTCCTTACCTCTCTCACTCTGGCCAGTCTCGCTCACGAAAGCCTTCCTCTCTCCCTGTGGGACCCTGCTTGGGCCCCTGGCACGGACCACCCACTCCCACCTCATTGCCCAGTGACCTCACCTCTTCTGTGCCTGGCCCAGAGGCTGCCAGGAGCGCCTCCTAAGGAGGACGGCAGGAAGGGAAGGAAAACCGTTCCCAGTCAGTGGTGCTAAGATTTAGGGGGAGGGCACTGGCAGGAGCCCCAAATCCATATTCCCACAGGTAGACTCGCGCATGCGGGGGACTTCTGTTCGCCGTCAGGCTTGAACATTCAGAGTACAGCCCTGTGGTGGTCCTGTAAAGTTATACTGGAAACTGGGAGCTTCTCTTGGAAATCCTCCACCTTCCACAGCCCGCAAAGGCTATTAAACATAAGAGGCAAGCTGGTGGTGGGCTTGGGGTGAGGGCCCGGGGGTCTCTGTGGCAACCCTACCCGCTTCTGAACTAGCGCCCGGCAAGCATTAATGGATGGAAGAGAGAGGCCTGGGATGGGAGGCCAGAGCGGGGCAGGTGGGAGAGGAGGAAATGCCTATTTTTCTCCAGGCCCCTCATGGCTGAGTAACAAGAGTCCAGGCAAGGTCCCAAGACCACTGACCCTCAATTCTCATCAGTAAAATGGGTTGTGAAAGAATGGGACTTTGCCTACTTTATGGGGCCGCTTGGAAGATGGAAGGAGAGCACGCTTTGTAAAAAGAAAATCTTCCCAAAACACGGGTGACTATTCAGTACCAGATGGGGTTTCCAGCTTCCAACTTTAGGTTACAGTAAAAAAAGCATTTTTTTTTTTTTTTTTTTACAAATAAAAACTTAAGGTGCTCTGTAAGTAAGTGATTGAGATAGGACTGGGGAAGAAAACATTGTCTTCCGATCACATGGCTCCTCGATGGAGATGGTCCACGTGGCTGGGGCGAGGGGGATGGGAAAGAAGTGGGGAACAACAGAAAACAAAAATAAAGGGAAAGAAGTTGGTTGCTGACTGGGAGAGGTGGCGTGCATGGCGCCTCTGATGTCAGCGCAGACCTGGGCCTGAATCCGAGCTCTAGTGCTTATCTAATTGGGAAAATTTAGGCAACGTATTCGGCCTTGTTTATTTTCTATAAAATGGAAAGAAGAGTTGCGGTCTCCAGAGGCTGCTGTAGGGACTGGAGATAAGGCCCACACGGATGGCCCAGGGAAGGGTGCTGCCATCCCCAGCTGAAACGCTGACTGTCCGTTCTGGGAGGCTGCCGGAACCTTCCAGTGAGGCCCTGGTTCCCAGTCACGCTGTTCTGAGTGGCTGAGCCAATGGGCATGAGAACTGAAGGGACTGGCTCTTTTACTGAGAGAGAGGAGACGAAACACGAGACAGCTTTCTCTCCTACAGGCAAGTCAAACTGCAGACCCAGCAAATAAATCCAGGCTTCTGAAATGACACACACCTTGCCAAGTGTACACTCGAGAGAATGCCACCCACCATTCTGCTCGCAGCAAGAGCTGCATTCCCAGCCTGCAGGTGGAACGCTCTCTGCGAGTCGTCTAAGGCTCGGTTCAGCGACTAGCTCAATGTGATCTTCCTTCAAGCAAAAATAAAGAGGGAACGAGTTGCAGGGGACACGAAAGCTCGGTCTCTTCTCCACGTGGCCCGTTACTGCTCAGATCTCCCTCTGTGCCTCATCATCTCACCGCGGTAGAGGCCTGTGCCAGCCCAGGGTGGAGCAGGGAGGGGGTGGGCGATTGGAGAGCCCTGGCAGGGGGAGCAGAAACCTACCAGGATGCTCTCTGTCTAGTTTTTGTTGCCTTTTTTTTTTTTTGTAAAGCAGGGATGCTTCTCATGCACTTGTTCATGCGATTCTACTCTCTTCTAGAACCCTGCGTGACCTGATCATGAACTTGAGGCTGCCGGACCCAGAGTTGGCCTTATCTGGAGAACGAGGAAGTATGCCGTCCCTTGTCCAGAGGCAGCCTTCCCCTCTTTATGCTTCATTCTTCTGCCAGAGTCTGACCTGACCATACTGGGGAGGATGTCTAGATTTACGCAATGGTAAGGCCTACAGGAGAAACATTTATTTATATCCCAGAGAAAATAAATAAAGTTTAAAAAAAATAATCAGGAAGCTCCTTAATAAGGGGCTGCTCAATTACCACCCCTCTCCCCCTCCCCCAAGGCTTTGGGAGTCCCTGGAGGGAGCAGTTTCGCAAACTGGTGATGGGTCCTGCCCCGCCCACCCCCACACCCTCTCCAGACGCTGGGCCCGGAGTCAGGGTTCTCCGGCCCTGCAGGATCCTTCAGGAAACGGAGGAAATATGAACACAGCCCAGGCATTTGGTTAAGTATTTTTAAAAAGCTTTCCAATTCTGCTATTTTTTTCTCCTCACATCCAATATTCTTGGTTGCTAAGTGGGAGGAAATGTGGGGAGGTGGGAGAGGTGTGGAGAACGGAGGGAAAATTGGCAACATGAAGGCTGATGGGTTTATTTTCTCATTTTGAACGGGGGTACGGGCAAAGGAATGCTCCAGGACGGAAGCAACCAGCCTGGGGAGGATCTCCTGTTAGCGGCGCTTGTGGCCAAGACTTCCCTAGATCCTGCTGCTTCGGAGAGGCTGGGAGTGGGGGGCTTTTTGGGAACATAACATGGGCATTTTCTATTTCTGCTTACAGACTTAGAAAAGTGGAATTCTTTAAAAATTAAAATGATCTTTATTTTCAGAACATATCCGCAAAAGGGAAGAGGCCAGTTTCAGGATTATCTTTTCACCGAGAGGAAGATGGAGCATGGGGCCATCACATGCCACCGGCTGAGCTATGAAGGGGATTCTTGGCTAATTCTCCAGCTTTGCAAGGAGCATGGGGCTGCCTGCTGGGCCTGGGGCCGGACAGCACGAGCTCCCTCCCTTCCCACTGCGCTGCTCACGAGGCCCGGCTGCCGTCACAACTCTGCCGAATGTTAGTTCACAAGGACCCGTCCCCTAACACGGAGGGCGCTGATTTTGAGTATTTTAACTGCTGAAATAAAATCCCACATGGAACCCCTCCTACACTCAGCTGCTTCCCTAACGCCCATCCCACCTTTCTTCTCCCTGGGCCTGCGGCCTGCATAGCAAGGCCACTAGCCTGTTGCCTCCCCCCCCCCGGGGGGGGGCGCTGTAAGGGGCAAGTGACATCCTTAGTTAGTTAGTACACATTTACAACTTGTGTTGAATATTTTTAGCCTCCCGACGTTTAAGAGCCTCCTGTGGGCTGTCCATACATCTTGCTATGAGCTTAAAAAATGTACCAAGTGTATGAGCTGTTGTCTGAATGCACTTGAATTATTAGGTCCCTTTTTGTTAAATGACTTCCCTTCCAAGGGCAGGACACACTTAGTCATTTAAATAGATGCCAGAAAAACTGCCCAGGACTTGCAATGGGCACAACAGGTTAGTGGGTGGGTGTCTTTCAGTGGTGACTTGGGAGTTGACTAGGGGGCCTTTCCCCGATAAATCAGCTTCAGTCGGTGGGGGGGGGGTGTCCTTGACTGACTCCAACTGATTAATGTCATTTTACTGTTCTGCAGGCAAATGAGACAAAATTGATTTCCACCCTGTAAAAAGACAACCCCAAACCATATATTTCATTGTCCTATAAGAACACTGTTTTTGCATTTCTTTGCAAATTCATTTCAGTAACTCTTTCTTTTTTCTTTTTTAATATATTTTATTTATTTATTTGACGGACAGAGATCACAAGTAGGCAGAGAGGCAGGCAGAGAGAGAGGGGGAAGCAGGCTCCCTGCTAAGCAGAGAGCCCAATGCGGGGCTTGATCCCAGGACCCTGGGATCATGACTTGAGCTGAAGGCAGAGGCTTTAACCCACTGAGCCACCCAGGTGCCCCTAGGATATCTATCTTTCAAATTCTTCTCTGAATGAATCTTAACATTTTACTGGTTCCCTTGTTAGCTAATGAGATAAATAAAACCTCTGATACATGCTCATTTTATATTTGTTTGTGTCATGATTTTAATGGTTTGAAAATTACACCTTATCTTGCCCATCGTGGTGATCTCTACTCTCCTTGGTAGGACATGGCCTGTTGTCTCTGCAGGTCTTTTAAATACTATTCTAAGACCCCCTACATCTGAAGTATGTAATTGACTAGTCTATCCATAAATTACCAGAAAGATGCTAAGACTTGTCCAGGAACTTAAATAAATGGATGGTTGAGAGAAATCAGGTGGAGATCAATTGGGCCTTGGGCCTCATGGGTCACGGTGGCAGCAAGAAGATAAGCAAGCCCCAGTCTGGGGGCTTCATCAGCCCCTGGGAGAAAAGCCCCTGACAAATGGAGTATGTATGGCTCCACCGCGATTATCTGTTGCTCATGAGGACCTGGAGGTGCACGGGGGGGCAGGGGGCATGCCTGCCTGCCAAGTGCCCATCTGAGACGGCTCCGGGAGGTGAGGACCCATGCAAAAACCACGCAAAACAGGCCCCGCTGGCCTCTTACCTGGGATTGGTTAGGTTGTAGCAGGATTTCCATATTTGTAACATGTGCTTACAAGTGAGGAGCGCCTCATCTGGGCCCCGGCAGAGAGACTCCAGCTTCACTTTGGAAAACAGTAGTCTGTAGTGGGGAGACAGAGGGAGAAAACAACACAGCTCAAGCCAGAGAGTCCCCACCAGAACCACCCACATGGCCTGGCCTAGACCCGGAAGTGACGGCACTCATTCTAGAATGGGGTGGGCAAAGGCTTGATCTGAGGGAAGTGGTGGTAGCAAAGGCCAAGGGTTCCAGAACTCCTAGCTTGATATGTGGCCTTGTAGATTGAAGGCAAATGCAGGTGCAGCCAACGTGACGATATGAGATCAACTTAAAAGCATCAGAGTGGCTGATTTTATTGAGAACGCGGGGATTTTACTAAGAGCCTGCTTTTTAAAACAAAACCAATTTATTTGTAAAACTTCAAAAATTCATTAAAACCAAATCTTATTTACAGATTTACATGGAAGACATGAGTCAGTTGATATAAATGATCTACAAATCCCTTTCCACAAAGATCCTCATCATGTGAATGTGAACAAGTCTCGTAAGCATCGAAAAGGCACATAAAGAAGGGGGCGTCTAGCTCAGGCTCTCCCCTCAGAGCTTCCCAGACCTGCTCCTGAAGGACTAGGACTTCACCAGCTCACTCCACAATCACCAACTCTCTTTTCCCTATTTTTATTACCACCAGTGGCTCTACCCTTTGTCCAGACCTTCTGTGAGCTAAGCTTAGACCTTTCTCTCTTTCTCGGCCCCTTGGTTATCCTATTCCCAAATTCTACTTATGCCTTTCTGAAGACTTTAGCTCCCCTGGTCCCTGAGCTCATTAATACTACCCTTGTGAAGCCCCAGCATGAGCCCAGATACCTTCCTGAGAGTCTGCCTATTCCCCCGAATTGCACAGCTCATAAGAAACCACCTTATGAAGATCTCTAAAAATCAGTTTCAGTCCCAGCTCAAGAAACTACAGCGATTCCTGTTTGTAACAATAAGTCAAAATTCCTTACTGAGTCCTCGAAGGCCCCCTGCCCACCAGCCACGCCTATCTCACCACCTCATTCCGTGCCATGCATCCCTCTGGACCCTGTACTCCTACAGTATAATTGATTGGCCAAAGGCCAGGTTCTTTCCTAACTCTATGAATATACATGCTGTGTCCTCAGTTTTGATCTGTATGAACCTACTGTTTTCCTAAATTCTTCCTGAACTCTAAGCCCAGCTACAACCCCACCTCCTCAAATAATACCACGTTTACATCTCTGTCTACTCTACTCTCTATCACATTAGCTGGTGTTTGCTGTTAATGATAATAAAGAGAAGAAAGAGATGGGAGAAGCTCCTGCCTATTAAAGACCTCCTCTGTGCCACTTCACAACACAACCAAGGTGTGTAAGGACCCTTCTTGGTGGGTGGTCTTTATCTCTCTTCCATAATAGAACACCACCCCCTCACTTCCACAGTGCCTAAGATTGTGCTGTAAGGCTGGGGGGGCCCTGAAATCCACATTTACTCATTGACTTTCTCTACAAACCACAGAAGACTAAGAAATGCATATCCAGTGATTTAAGTTAGACATACAAGAGAATTCCTCAACCACGCATGATGTAATGGTCTCATTCGAAGGCATTTTGGAGGAAGTCTCTTTTTTCTCAGTGGGCGATGGAAAGAGAGTGGTCCTAATGCATCACCTCCCAAACTCTGGAATGGGTTCGTACCACCCACTCCCTCCAGATGGAACAGAGGACGCCCAAGGGGCTGCTGGTGGCTCTGGGAGGGCTCAGGGCTGCAGCCTCCTCAAGCCTGGGTCTGTGGACACCTGGGATGATGGCATCGGGCCAGGTGAGGGCAAGGATCACCCCTGAGCCACAAGCAGGTGGGCGTAAAGGCTGAGGCCAGACGTGAGACCAGGGCTTGCCTTCTGCTCAAGAACATTTCAAGAAGTGCAAGTTCTCTGAGGGGTTTCTTAGGAGCCAGGTGCCAGCTCCTGCTGATGTCTTTACCAGTCCAGAAAGTGGTAGGAGCCTTTTTGCATCACAATCTCCCACCAAACGTGGGTCAACTGGGAAATGTGTTGCAAAGGGAGGAGAAGCTGCCAAAGGGTCACTTTGCAGCATTTGGTAGAGACTTTTTCAGAGACCACAGACCCTCCTGCCAAGCAATTTTGGCCAAGGGAGATCCCACCTAGGACTGTGGTGATGTTCTCCAGGAGGCACAGCAAACTCTTCTGGCTTAGCCAAGCTTGGAGTTCACCTGCCCCAGGGAGGGGGTGAGGTCATGGGGAAGGCTGCCCTACATGTGGTGGTGTGTGGCTCTAACTGTCCAATTGTCCTCTAACTGTACCCCAAGTACAAAATGCCAGAGCTTGTCTCTAAGCCTCAACTTGGGGGAACGGTTGCATGCAAGGCTTCTTGGCTGGAAAAAGAACTTCTAATTAACATGAAATAACAGCTTTCAAACACTTGACTCAGGATATGGAGTTGAAAAGGTGTGGGCTGAATTTCAGAGAACCAGACAGGAAGAACAAGAGTAGAACTGCTGAGCACAAATGATGGGAAAGGCACCTGGAAGTGAAGCAGGAGGAACAGCATGACAGAGAGACTGGCAGAGAGAACGAGCTGGAAAACATGGGCAGGGGAGCAAAAGCAAAGCCTGGCAGCTGCTGTCAGGTACCTCCCAGTCGATGGGCAGAATGGGGGGCCCTGACAAGCTGAACCTGGTTTTCTCTTGGATATACAAATAAGAGCAGGAGACAGAGGCACCGCCTCTGGGACACTACTCCTCCTCATTGCGTTCCCAAACTTCAGCGTGGCTATATGGGCAGAGACCGTCCTGAACGCAGGACAAGCGATGCTTGTCATCGTATTTGCTGAACCCTGCGCACACATTTCAAGACTGTTAGAAAACATCGGGCTGGGCATATGCCACATTAGCACAGAAATGAAGAGAACACAGTGATTGGCACTGGTTTGCTGCAGTTGATGTCCAAAGATATCAGAGATTCAACCTACTGAGGAAACCCAGAGGACAAAACTAGAAGTCATGAAAAAGGGGGTGCCTGGGTGGCTCAGTCAGTGAAGAAACTCCCTTCGGCTCAGGTCCCAATCCCAGGGTCCTGGGATGAGACCCGAGTCAGACTCCCTGCTCTGTGGGGAGCCTGCTTCTCCCTCTCCCTCTGCCCCTCCCTGCCATTCCTGCTCTCTCTCAAATAAATAAATAAAATCTTAAAAAAGAAAAGAAAGAAGTCATGAAAAAGCCTGGGACAAACCAGCATCGTTGACATTCCTGCATGTGGAATGGGCCGGCGGAAGGGACCGCAGGCTGAAACCGTCTACGGGCCACAGCAGCCGAGTCCGACCATGAATTAGTAAGTAAGGTGTTTCTCTTGGTAAGAAGTCATGTGCTGGGAAAGTGGTCTACTCCTACTCCCTACATCTGGCTCAAAGGTCATCAACCTAATTACAACAGTTTTGGTTCAGAGACTCACTGAAACTTACATGAAATTAATGAAGACTAGAAGAAGCCTGCTGATGGATGAATCTGACTATGTTACCGATAGCCCAAATCTAGCATCTCACACAATGCTGTTCCTGACCTGGCTCCTGCCCAAATGCTTAGCCTCGGTCTGCTTACAGTCCATCGTGGACATCTCCCACTCTAGCCATGATCGGCTTCCTCCATGTCATTCTCCCTCATGTCCCTGGGCCTTTGCACATGCTATTATACTTTCTGTCTGGAATACCTTTTCCATCCATCTTTGTTTTTCAGGCATCTACTCGTCTTCCAGGTCAAATAGCTCCTTACCTCCACCCCCCACCTCAGTAAAGCCAACCTTAGGTACTAGAAGCTAAAGCTCCCAAATGGAAATGCAATTCCAGAAAATACGAAAATACGAGACCTCTCAACCCTGGAATAATAAGCGACAAGCCAGGAAACTTCTGCTTTCAAGACAAGCATATTAAGAACAACAGCTGCTGCCAGACACTTGAAATATAATCGCTGATTCTTACACCAACCTTGCAGGTTAGACCTAGAGTAATTTGCCTGAGCTGACAACGCCAGCCACTGGTAGACCAGAACTATGAACCCAGATCCACTGATCAAGAAACAAGGAAGGGTGACTTAAAATATTGTAACTGCACTCCTAATGTTAACGAAAATAGACAGCATTTTCTAATCCATTGACAAATACGTAAGACCCTATGATAATGCGAAGACCTGTGTTACTGTGTGAATTTAAAGTAGGTATAAAATATAGTCCCTTGGGGCGCCTGGGTGGCTCAGAGGGTTAAGCGTCTGCCTTCGGCTCAGGTCATGATCTCAGGTCTTGGGATCGAGCCCCACATCGGGCTCTCTGCTCAGCAGGGAGCCTGCTTCTTCCTCTCTCTCTGCCTGCCTCTCTGCCTACTTGTGATCTCTGTCTATCAAATAAATAAATAAAATCTTAAAAAATATATATAGTCCCTTGCCCTCAAACAACTTAGAGTCCAAGCAGAAGAAAAGACCTGGCCACGAACATGAGGCAGGATTCCAGGTTTAGGGACAGATTATGGCCCTGGAACTCGAGTGCGGCCACAGGAAGACGGGGCTGCGCTTCTGGGGGCTGTTCCTAGGATACATCATGTGAACTTCTTCAAAAAATGATTGCATTGGCCTGAGTTTTTTGTGACTTGCCTCTCTCACCCCAAAGTTCAGTGCATGTAAAATTCTAGTCATTTGAAGGATTCAGTTAATCAAGGTTTTACTTTCATTAAACCCAAGGGAAATAATATTTTACCCTATTTTTGGAATTTCTTACGACTCCCAAGATACTTGTTGAAAAAACAGCTGCGTTCGGCTTGGTGTAGAATTTAGAAAGAAGATACACCCCCCGGCGAAGCTCTAGGGTGTGTGGCATTGTGACTTGTCCTCAGGCACCTCAGGGAATGTTTCAAACTGGCTTTTTATCAGGGCCTGGTTTGATATCTGATGATCTTCCTCAGGAAGACTTTCCTGACTCCCTGGGAACTGCCCCCAAAGACTTGACGCTCACATCCAGAGGAATAGTCTGGTTTAGTTTCATCCTACTGGACCCCAGAGCCACT